GCGCCTGTAGCTCAGCAGCTAGGGTGCCGGTCACATACACCGGGGCTGGTGGGTTCCAACCAGCCCAAGGCCTGCGCAACAACAAAAAAAATAGCCAGGCTTTGTGGCGGATGCCTGTGGTCCCTGTTACTTGGGAGGCTGAGGCAAGAGAATCGCTTAAGCCCAAGAATTTGAGGTTGCCGTTTGCTGTGATGCCACCACACTCTACCAAGGGCTACATAGTGAGACTTCTGTCTCCACAAAAAAAGAAAAAAGAAAGGCAGCATCTGCGGCCCAAAGGAGTAGGGCGCTGGCCCCATATGCCAGAGGTGGCAGGTTCAAACCCAGCCCCGGCTAAAAACTGCAAAAAAACCACAAACAAACCAAAAAAACCCTGTATTTTACCTCAAGGCAAGAATCCAATTCCTCCCAGTGACTATGTCCCTCAGGTTGTTGGGAGAGACAAAAGTTTCCCTTTAAGTCTTCCCTCGAATACACACTAGATGTCAAACAATGGTGGCCGCTACCATTTTAAAATGGCAGCCCCTGATAGTTTAAAATGGTGGCCGCTGAAAGCTTAAAATGGCGGCCGCTGCCAGTTTAAAATGGTGGCCGCTGCCAGTTTTAAATGGCGGCCACTGCTGGTTTGAAATGACAACCACGGCTCCAAAAGGCCCCACCACGCGGCCAACACACACTGCCACGTCATAGAAGGACAATCATACTCTGCCATACGCCCAAAGGGGTGGGGCCAGCCAATGCAGCAGAGGGTAGTACTCCCCCGCCCCGTACGCTGGTACGTGCCAAAAGGGGAGGGGCCAGCGCACGCTGGCACGAGACAGTGCTCCTCCCAACACTCTCACGTGACCAAAAGCACCAGCGTGCACCGAATAGAAGACTCTCCCGCTATTTTCTGTTCTTACTAAGCCGGCCCAGCTGTCCTCTTTGCTTGAAAGTAGAAACTACACAAAACTTATTTTTTTCTATAAATTATAACACCCAGGGAAAAGGACCTAAGCCAATTTTCTTTTTAAATTACCATGTTAAACACACAACTATACTGTAAAATATAATTCAAATGATGCAACGTAACTTCTAAGGGCTGTTCACTTGCAACAAACACTAAGAAGTCAACCTTACAGTTAAAATTCTCAGTTTTACACTGAAATGTCCCATACTTTTCAGAAGAAACACAAACAAAAGACTAGGGACAGAATTGAATAATGCACTTGACAATGAATTGTTGCAGAATATGCAATCCCCCCAAAAATTCTGAGGGGGCCAGAGACCAGCACTTTTTTGCACTCACTGTCCTAAAATAAACGCTATCAGATTGTCGATGACTGCATTTCCAAATTGAAAATATCACAACATATCCTTTTAATTAGAAAACTCTTTTCCTTAGTTGCGAATTGAATACAAAATTTTTTTACACAAAGCTTTTGAAAAGGACTAGGACCCACATTTTATTAAATAAAATAATGCCAAGCACACGATTCCTCCGTAAAATAAAACTCCAAACTCTACTAAATGGCAGCAGGTGATAGTCACTTAAATGCATTCATTGCCACAAAACATTAAGGGTACAACTGAATGATTAAAATCTTCATTTGTAAATCAAGAGTACTCCAAAACATTTATTTTAAGGAAATTAATGAAGCAGGAACGAGCCCAGAATTTAGACAAATAAAATTATACCAAACACACACATCTACTATAAAATGCACTCAATTCAACCGTTTATTTCCCCCACTGTAAATTCAAAATTGCACAGAACCGTCCATAAGAAACCTACGAAATTCTTAACACCAAAATTTAATTTAATGCAATGAGTTTGACAATAGTTTTGTAAAATTAAATGCCAAACTGCATGTAATAGTGCTAAATACAGGCTTAGCAGCATCCAGTGTTTGTAAAAGTGCAAATGAGGCGAAAATTTTAAAGGAAAAGGCACAATGTCAAGAAATCGTTTAGATGAATATAATATGACATTCACAAGTACTGTATAACAATTCAAAGGCATCGATGATTACTAAAAGCTACCAAAGCCATCAGTGAATAACTCCTGCACCAACCAGAAGACATTTTCAAGTTTAAAACCCCAGAAAACTTTTTTTTCTTTTAAAGTCAGCATATGAGAGGATTGCTTCCAAAATTTAACCACAGAAATGATATTTTCAAAGGAGAAAAAACGTTTTATTCAAAGGCACCTAACAGTCATTAAATGTACCAAACACCCCCCCCCCATCCCTCCGCGTTTGATGCGTCCTCTTTCCAGGTTTTAAAATAAGACCGGTTACAACCAAGATTTTTAAAAATACAACAATAACCACCCAAAAATAAAACAAAAAATAAACTGCAGGGCGGCGCCCGGGGCTCAAGAGGGTAGGGCGCTGGCCCCATATGCCGGAGGTGGTGGGTTCAAACCCAGCTCGGGCCAAAAAAACAAACAAACAGGAAAAAAAAGCGGCAAATCATCTCCCTGACACCCACTGCGCCCTCTTGTACCTGCTCAACCTATAGCACTATCCATTTCCTCATTTTTAAGCTAAAAACGCCACAGAACCTTAAGACCACATGCAAGAAGGGACCGAAACCAATATTTAAACAAAAAGACCGCAGTCAACTTTTCACAGAAAGCGAAGAGCGGGAACCAAAGTCGGCTGAGGAACCCAAATTGTCATAAATCTAAAGCCCTTTAAAGACTACTAAAGTATATTATTTTATCTATAGCCATCTATAAAAAGCATACTAGAAATATCCAACTATCAATAACAATTATAAATGAAAATAAATTAACCTTACATTACCTCACAGAAGCAGCGGCCTCGTCACTCCAACCCTGAGGTAGAAGCTAGTTCGACCACATGGCCCATTTACACTACAGAGCAAAATGGGCGCCGGCTCACGCGGGTGGGCTTCTTTTATAGCCATACTATGGCTCCACCTACAAAGATCCTGATTGGTTGTGGCTGAAATGATTGCCAGGCATACTGTCTACTCTTACCTTCTATATTACTAGAGAGTCCACCCACATCCCCCCTTCCGCCTGTTTTTGCTTCTTATTGGTGGGAAGGATTAACGCTTGGAGTTTTTGTTCTTCAGTTGGGGTTGCCGGAAACACGCAGAAACTTACCACCCAAGTCACTTGAACCAGACATTCTGATTGGTGAATGAACCAGACATTGATGAATTTGCATAACCAACCAATCATCTTTCAAGCTTTTGCAGACACCCGCCTTTTTCTAGAAAGTACTTTCCCGCCATTTCGGCTTGGGGTCAAATTGAAGTCAGATACCTGAGGGGACTTAGTGGGGAATTCAACACCTCCCCCCACCCCCCGCCCCGGCATTTATATTTAGGAAAAGGAATAGAAGCGATGTCAGGACAGGGATCTGAGGTGAAAAAAATGAGCCTAAAGAGCCGTTCTCCTAAACACGGCATACACGAATTAAGAGTATTAATGGGGGGCTCGGCGCCTATCGCTCAACCGGCTAAGGCACCAGCCACGTACACCTAAGGTGGTGGGTTCG